ATTTGAATAAGCAATAAATTTTACAAAACATGACAAATTGATATCCATTAATAATCACATTTCATGAAATTAAAGAAGCATGTGATTTACTTGGTTGATCTTTTTAGCGTCCAACTTTTATTTTGGTCGCTATTAAAAAATGTAATTTATAAAATTAATAATTAAAATTACTAAATAGCAGCCAAATAATTAATCATTAGCGTCAAAAAAATTGGTCGCTAAAATGTACATTTTTAGCGACCAATGCTAATTAGTGGTCACTAATTTAGCAACCAAAAAAAAGTTTTGGCCGCTAAAAGCCTCAGCGACCAGGCTACTGCGACAAACCAGCGACCCAATTTTTTTTTGTCGCTATTCGCTTTAGCGACCAAATTATCTTTATTAACGACCAATTTTTATTCTCGCTAAAAACCTTTTTTCTTGTAGTGAGATTATGAGATTATTCAAAGCGCATGATCTTGTAGCTGTATAAGCCATAAGATATAATGAAGGTTATCTTCTCATAATCACCTGGATGCATCTTGATTTTATGATTGATCAAAGATGCATCCAAGAAACTCATCAATGAGTAGAACACTATTGAGTTGACTACAATATTGATAATTGACAATGGGTAATTGTCTTTTAAGTACTTCAAGTTTAGGTTTTTGAAGTCCACATATATTCTACACTTACCTTTTGCCTTTTGTACCATTACAATATTCGAGATCCACTGATCCAGTTTAGGAACAGAACTACACTTATGAAGTTGATGGCTAAAAGTTTATCTAACACTTCTCAGATTTTCTTGGTTAGTAAGGCGACTGCTTTTCGGATCTTCGATCTATTTGATTTGGTAAGAAGTGCTCCTAAAATTTTATCAATGTAGGTGACTTCTTCATAGTTTACAGGCATCATTGTAACAATCCATGCGAAGACGTCTAAGTCATTCTTAAGGGTTTGGACGAGCTCACGCTATAGTCCTCACTGATATAAGCATTAATTCTAATTAAGGAGCTTGACTAACTCACCCTTGAAAGTGAGTACTTCCTTAACTACATCTACCACTTCCAAGTTTGGACCTGCACCACATCTAACTAGAAGACTTCTTGGGAGTTTGTCACCTTGCATACTGCTCATATATAGTAGGTGCACTATTGGACGAGGTTCTTTTCCTCTCTATATCACTATCGCACAAACACACTCTCTCTTTAATTTAATGACGTATAAGCCATTCCCAGGCCGCAATTCAGCTTCCCTATTTCTTTATTCTTTCTCTCTCTTAATATATTTATCTCTCTCCCTCTTACTTTACTTATCCCACTCTCTTTCTCTCTTTCTCTCTTTCTCTCTATCTCTCCCTCTCTTAATTACCCTTCCTTCCACCCTCTTCATCTATCATTCTCCTTTCTCTCTTAGTAACACTCAATCTCTTACTCTCTTTTATGCTTTCGCTTATCTCTATTTACCTCTTTTTCTCTCTAATTGCAACAACTCAAAAGCGTAAAACAAACTTATTTGAAAAAATATTAAAAAGTCTGAAGTAGAGCACTGTGACGCTAATTTGGTAAGCGTTGCGACATTATGTTGAGAGTGCGCAGCGATGCTGAGAATCAACATTATGAAGCTTAACGCTTTTTTCACATAAATTTTGGATTCGACATGTATCGCTACGGTGCTGGGTACGAACACCGTGGCCTTTGGCTACTATCATTATTTATATTTATATATATACCCTTGTCATTTCTCTCACCCTCCCTCACTCCCTCCTTGCTTGGTTGGAAAGAAATCAAAGGAGTGGTATTTTTGTTATGAGAATAGTATTTAGGTGGTATTAATGTAATATTTAAAAATTGGGTGTTAAATATGTAATATGAAATAAATAAAGTGGTATGTATGTAAAAATCCCCCAAAAAAAAAAAGAATAAGACAAAGGGTAAGAGGAGAGAGAAGAGAGAGAAAGGCTTTTGGGTCATTTTGGTCCATCCTTTCCTATTATGGATTTTGTTATATTCGTTATAAGTAATTGTTATCTTATTGTGTTTTTTATGATTTTGATTTCTAATGATTTTATCTCTTAAATCTGTCAAAAATACATTTATCTTCTGATTTCGTAAGCTTTTATCATATAACTTTTTATATATTATATATTTAATCATTTTAAATAATTTGATATGATTTATTGTATTTTTATTGGTTAAATATGGAATAACTAAAATATGTTAAATAAATTTATTTGAAAAACATGAAAATTATAAAGTATAAGAGAAAGAAAAGTCTTTGGATCATATTTATCAGCCATTCCTATTACAAATTTTATTCTCTTCGTTGTAAAATATTTTACTTATGTTTTCAATTATTTTGATTTCTACAATTTATCTCTCCTAAATCTACCAAAAATATATCATCTCCTGATTCACCATACAAGTTTGGACATATTATAGATTTGATTATTCTAAATAATTTGATATCATTTGATTGTATTTTAAATAAAGTGCTGAATGATATCATATACATGATATCATAACTCTATGTAATAGCTTACTAATCCACATAATTCATTGATTGAGAGTCATAAAGAGCTGAAGATTAATTGGGAGTTATAAGGAGTCGAGACAAATGATTCACGTGATTCAAGGGGAGTTATAAGAAGTACATTGATTGAGAGTTATAATGGGAGACTGATTGAGAGTCATAAGTGCAGGAGCAAGATACCCTTAACATATACTTATTGAATATCTGAATATTAATACTGATACTATATTGAATATTGTACTAATATTATAATTGGCACTAATATTATTTACTTTTATTAATAATATTGAATGTTATTGATCATGATACTAATTTATTACTAGCTTTAGTACTGTTGATTTTCACTGATACTATGACTGATGATGTAATTGATCGAGATGTTATAAACTATAAAATGATAAATTGATACAATATCGACATTGATGCATGTATTTTTTTATATGACTTATAGCATATTATTCTTTTTTATCTTACAATGATTTCAGTTGTAAGATTCTAGCTACTTGCTGGGTTATGCGCTCTTACGTAGATTTATATATTTTCATGAAATGATAAGGATCTTATGATATGATGCTCCATACAAGATAAAAATACAATCATATTTCTTTTTGTTATTTATTAGTAAGCTCTAGTTAAATGGTTAAAATAAAATACAAATGTAATTCTTCCAATATAGGTTCTTAAGTGTGACAAAATATGTGTATATGAACTTTTATGTGAAATGAAAGGAAAAAGGGTGTACTAGAAATGAGCTAAAAAGGATATATTGTGATTTAATATTGAAAGGTAATACGTACTGAAATAATAGATATAGAATGGAATGCAGTATTGATATTGTTATGATACTGATGAAATAATATACTTATTAATATCATACATATGATATTCCATCCTCATGTGATACCCTAATGATTCATGAGATTCATTGATTGAAAGTTATAAGGAGCTAGAGACAAATTAAGAGTCATAAGGAGGAGTCGGGGCTATTGATCTATGTGATTACTGATTGGGAGTTAGTTATAAGGGGCGATTGACTGGGAGTCATAAGGGTAAGAACATTGATATAACTGATTGCATGTGATACCCTTAAGATATAAGATACCATCATTTGATACATATTGATATTGATTACTAATGTTGATTCAGCTTTAGCTCTGATATTGATACTGAATATATGATTGTAACTGCTAGATAAATAAGAATGAGTGAATGTTAAAGATAGACTGACTGATTGATCGACTAAGATAGATTGATTGATTGACTAGAGAATATGGATTAAAGATTGACAGACTGATGTGAACTGAATGAATGATAAGAGTGAATGAGCAAAATGATCGAGATAGTGACATATTATAGACTAATTATTGATACAAATAACTGGTATAGATACATTGATTCATAGATTTTTTTTATATGATTTACATCATTTTGTTCTCTTTTATCTTGATTTGATTTTAGTTGTAAAATTTTGATTATTTATTGAGTTGTGTGCTAATTATGTAATTTTACATATTTTTAAAAAATGATAAAGATCCTATTATATGAGGCGCTGGACAACATGTGTAATTTCCTTTTAATACTTTTAGTTTATTTTATAGTCATGATTCATTTACAGTGATATAACTCATCTTTTGAATCATGAATATTATGTACAAGGCATTTTGGGCGCTATAATAATTGTAAGTATTAATGAATATAAATGCAATCATATTTCTTTTTACAATTTTATGAAATGTGTAAGCTCTAGGTAAATGAAAGAAAAGAATGAGATGCAATTCTTCCAAATTTGATTACGAGGCATGACACTAATTCTCTCTCTCTCTCTCACGATCTCTCTCTATGACCCTCACAATCATTGTTCTCTCATTATCACACACACTCTCTCTATCTCTTTCTCTCTGGATCTCTCCCACTCTTCCTATCTCCCTCTCATTTGCTCTCTTTCTCTCTCATTCTCTAAGTCTATATAGCTTTGTCTCTTTCTCTCCCTCCCTCTCTCCCTCTCTCTATCACCCAATTTCTCACTGCTCTCTCAAACTCTCTATGTTGCTCTCTTTCTCTAAAATGGCATCTCTCTCATTTCACTCTTCCTCTCTGCTCACATTTTCTCTATCTTGCTCTCGCGGTCTCGCCTTCCCTCCTCTCTCCTCATCTCTTTTATTTTTTCACCTCTCTCTCACACATGCATTTTCCTTCTTGATCTCTCTCACTCTCTTTCTTCATAAACAACACTCACTTGCTCTCTCCCTTTTGCCTACTCTCTCTCTCTCTCTAAGACATATCTCCCACTCACTTTCTCTCATTCTCCTTCACTCATTCACATTTGCTCGTCAATTTTTTAAACATAAAAATGAAAATGCTATTGTCCTTTGAGAGATTAGTAAATGTTTAAACTGCATAAGGAGACTCAGTTCAATTGGCTACTGTCTATAAGTGATTTGTGTTTCTTATAATATTCTGAACAATCTAAATATATATATCCCTGATTAAGAAATCAAAAGTACCCAATTCAATATTTGGCACCATTCAAAATTACAACCTATGAAATTACATAAATCGAGTAGATCAAATTAAGAAAATTAAACACATAACAGACATCAAGAGGAAAAATTATTCAGTGTGGAAGTCGAACCCTGTTCGGATATCTAGGCTCGCAGCTCGGTATCACAACACCGGGGCTCGGTACTGCTCAGTACCGCGGCTCGGTACTGCTGGGATATCCGGATGTAGAGCTACGTTCGGCGTCCTCACAAAATAATCTCTCCATCAAGAGAGAGACAGACTACTTTTACAATCTAACTACAAAAGCATAACATAAAACAAAATCAAATACATGAAAGCTTACAAGCTCAAATCTTCAATTTTTCAAGAATCAGGCACATATATGTTCTGGAATAGCTCAGGAAGGTGAGCATTTGTGAGTTTGGTACGTTTGCTGATTCCACTCTTCTTCCTTGGTTTTGGCTTGGAAGGGATGCCATAGACTTGAGCCGCAGCCCGCCTCTCGGCCGTGTTTGTCGCAGGTTTCATTCCATTCTTCTGAAGATCTTTTTCGATGTCCACCATGTCCCGAGGTAGCTCAATCCCCCTGAAGAGCTGCTTCAAGTCATCATCTACTTTGATCACCATCTTGGGGTCATTAGGATACACAATATCTTCCTGAGAATCGTTGTTGGCTAGGAGCCATACTTGTCCTGCTCCTTTCAAAGCCTGTAGAAATGTTAAGTAGAATTTCATGGTGATATGACAAAAGGCAGATGGATTGGAACGTGAAATATGTTAAAACTAAAGAACTTGATGTGTGCTTGATTATGCTCTTAAAGTTTCTATTAAGAGCTTGTCTTGCATCTTACCTCATTTTATCCATTTTAACTGTCTCTACTAAGATGCCATTATTGTAGTAAGATAAAGTAATGTGAGGGGAGAAGGGATGGTTGTGTGGGGAGATTAAGGTTTCGTTTGGAACGGCTTTCTTGTTGCTTCTTAAAGCAGTTTTTTAGTACAAAAATTTTAATTATTGAACTAGAAAGCCGCTTTAAGAACTAGCTTTTTAGTACAAAAATTAAATAAAAGCTGTTTTACGAAGCGGAAAGAAAGCCTTCCCAAACAAGGCCTAAGTAGTTGTAAGCTTGGTATTGGAGTTGGAATAGTAGATTAAGTATAGGAGGAATATAAGGACGATAAAAGAGACCTGCTTAGACGGAGAAATGAGTGAAGCAAATAGTTGGTGACCAAGGGGAGAAAGGTCCAGGGATAAGGAAAGAACGAGAGAAAATATGATTTTGTTTTTAATCCATCAAGTATCCCTTACAAACCAATTAAAACCTTGTAGAGAATAGACATCACTAATAAAAGATTAAATTTCCAACACAAACATAACAAGCCCAGATAAGGAAAATCAATAATAGTCATAAAAAGATTAAGGTTGGTTGGACAACTCTTAGGCCTGTGATGATCCTAAATCAATAATATTATTGTCTAAGGGACCACGAACTTGAGACTTCTGATCACCTTGAAAATTGATATAAACCAAACACATTTAAGAACAATCCTCTTCATAAGTAAATTGCTGTTTTTAAAAACAAGTTATCAGTTCTTAGTACAACTCTCATTTCGAATTACCATACTATTAATGTTGTTCTACTTTCCACGGAATTTCCTCTTCAGGGGTATATACCATGACACTCTCTTTTGCTTAAAAAAGACAAACAGGTTTAGATGACAAATTTACTTCTCAATAAACAAAAATTGAAAATTGTCGAAAGCTTATGAAAAATTGCAAATGAAATTGACGAGCTTAATTGGAGGATTATTTCTTGAAGGATTTTATGGCTTCTACCCATCACCCACACCAACATTTTATTTTGTCGACATCATGATCAATCTTACTAGGCTAAAAGCGTTATAATTATTGTTGTTATAACCTGTGTTACATATATTTTTACATTTACATTTATTATTGTTGCAGCTATATTATAATGGGTCAAAATGGGAATTTAGCAAAAGTTAAAAACAAACACCATTCAATACGAGAAGAACCTGCAAGTTAGCATTAGCATCATCCAGAAACAGGAAAGCTATTAAACATAACAAAATTACCTGCAAGTCATCCATAACTGATGCATATGAATCCTTCACATCAACAACAGCAAGACCCTCCGGATACTTTCTAATCAAAGAAAGCAACTGGTCTTTACCCTTCAAATCGTGTTTGGACTGCACGTTGTATAAGATCAAAACTACATCAACAATTGAAAACACCACTCCAAATGCTACACATCAAACCCACACAATCCATTAAAAATAGATATAGCTTTCCTTGCAATTTTATGCAATTTAATCCAAAGCTAAAGATCTCTAGAAAAAGTAAAAGAAAGACAGGAAGTTGGAAAAAAACATTAGTTCAACAATGACAATACTAATTAAAATAGTTGTTACTACACTAGTTTTTACTTTAACATACCAGCACAATGATAAAATTACAAAGAATTTATATCGGTTACAATATGAAATTTAGAAATATTACAACAGTTCTTGACAGTCATAACCCACAATAGATGTAATGCATGATAAAAAATATTTTTCTCCGGGAAGTAAAGTTCAGCCTCAGCCCTCCCCAATGACCACCAAGACACCAGGAGCTCAACTAATCATGATCATGTTGTATTGGTAGCTAATGCCTGCCCACCAAGGCACAAAGAGCTTAGCTAACCTATTTATATATAATTTTTATGTACTTGGTGCTACTCCCATGACCCTTCATTGTCTTGTTTTGATGATAGTAAACATATGATTGAAGGCACCAATATTTCAAATTAAGTGATTATAGGATTAACAAAATGCAAAGGATTATGATGCAGAGATGAAACAAGCAACATGTCCAAGTACCATGAAATAGAAAAAAAATGGAACATGGACACAAGCTCAAGTAAGATTGAAGACATGTTAAATTGAGTCTTGCATTTTGTTTTGAGCATGTATTTTCCATGGCTATTCACCTAGGCTTGTATAAAATATATATATATTTTAAATACTTTAGTTGTTAAATCATTATTTTGAATTTAATTTTCACTCTACATTGATCCTACCACAACTATATAGGCTAATAAAAGATATTAGAAGTTCTATACTACATAAATCAAAATTACATAATTAGCTTATTTAACGGGTCAATACTAACAGGTTAGCGGGTCTCTATTAAATAATGGATTGCTACAAATATGTTTATGAATCATAATTAGGACCTTGGATGACTAACCACATTTTGTTTGATTGTTTTTTGACTATCACTAAATAAGTATTGAGTCATCTTTAAATTTGTGGGTCATTATGAACTTTTTAAGGGATCACCACTAAACCATGATCTATAATGTAATGGCTGGTAATCTTAATACATGGAAACGATTCAATCTTAAAATTTTCTTCATTATTACTCTTTAAAAGTCATTGGTAGATGTTTTGAGATTGTTAGACTTATGAATAGACATCTCAGACCATTAGAATGTTAGAACCATATTGTGATATCTCTTTTGATCCCTTTGATTCTAAATCCCCCATTCCAAGCATTTCAAAGCAAAATCTAAAGCAAATGAAGAGTAAAATCTTAAGTGTTAGATTCATTGCAAGGGCTTCAATTTACATGATATTTCTTCAAATATCAAAGCATTGTAAGAAAGAGCTTTTGTTTTCTACATTTGTAATACATTATACTTTGGATTTGCTTTGCCTTGAAATGCTTACTGTGTTACTTCATGACGTGTCTGTTACCCGTTACAGAGATTGTGATTATGATGGATTTTCCACCAACTTGAGGAGTATATAAGTTTGCTAGCAATAGTAAAATCTTGATCTAGGTAGGGATTAGGATGTGGATGGGGCTAATTGAGGCAAAATCGAAAAAAAATCAATTTCTTTCTTATACTTGCACTTTATATTCTTGTTGTAATTGTTTTTATATTTCTTACTTACAAACATTTTTGAAAGCATGAAGTCAATCTTCCTCCATCCTCCCCCATCCCCTCTCTTAGTATGTCATAACCACCACGTGAACCTAGAAGGCTATTTTTGTGTCAATAGGACCGCATATTGAAGAACATAAGTACAATATAAAAAGTAATTTCATACATTAAAATACACATTCTCAACTTTGGCTCCATGATTCAGATCAATTTGCAGAATTATCCAAGGAGCATTTCCAACTACAACAAATTTATAGTTCCGCATCTTACAGGCACAAAAAATAAGGTTTTTTATAAAGAACAAACACAAGGCAATAAAAACATTATTATATTTGTAGTTTTATTATAAGTGAAGCGATATCTCCTTATCATTGTCAGCATTACATTTCTTCAATAAATAGTTCGGGAAATTACCTTGTAGGAGAAACACCTCCCATCGTAATGTACTTTATGATTATTCCTCAAACTGTCAAAGACAACCTTGTTGCCGATGATATCAACATAGCATGCTTCATTGATTTGCTCTGGTGTAAAAGCTTGCCTTGTCTGCACATAGATGTCCAAAACTCTTATGTCACTATCCACTTGAATGTTAAAGGACACACGCATCTATGCATGCAAGCAGTTATCATATCACAATATGAGCACATATTCTAAAGCGAAAAAAAAAACTCAAGATGCTAAAAGTTTTAATATAGCTGTTTCAGGCTCCTATCCTATCTTTTCAACTCCTATAATCGCAGATAACATGCAAGTATATGATTGTGTTTATATAAGGATTAGCTTTTAAAAAAAAAAACTTATTTTAAGGGAACAAAAGCAAGTTGGCAAAGGAAAATAATGGTGGTGAGTACCAGTTCTTTTTCTCACTAATTTGTGTTTGAGAGGGATTAATTTAATCAGATTGATATGTTCTCCAAGGAAATACCTTATGTCAATTTCAACAAGGTAGATCAATATTACTGATTACCTTGACAGCCCTGCTAATAACTAGCAATTCAAAGAAAAAAAGCTGTTCAAGTCACATCATTCATGGTTGCAATTATAAATAAAAGGATTTTAAGCCCATACCTCCAAAAGTAAATCAATCACACGCTTTATCTGCGCGCCAACTGGGGACTTCCTAATTGCACTGATGTGCTGAAGCCTTGCTGTATCATTTGAAAATTTCACAGGGGCAGCAACTCTTGATGGAGCTGAAGAAGTGCTTAGCGATGCCTGTTTTTGAGAATGGGTGGGCCTTGAACTTCGATTAGCTATGCTAGTCAGCGTAGATTGGCACTTCGCCTGCTGCTGTTTAAACTTGTTAAGGCTCTCTCGCAACGACATCAGAAAAATTGATGGTGATACCTATAACAAATATTCCATAACTAAAATCAATTATGGTTTTCCTGTTAGACAAAAGGAAAAATAAGAATGATATTGCAGTGAAGATCTCTCACATCGAATGCTAAATTAACATGATCATAAAATAATATAATATATGCCCGGCGGGCTGATTCATTTTATATTTCGATCAGGCTGATTGAAATATAAAATCCCGTTTACCCTCCGTTTTAACTGAAAACTGGAATTAGTAAATCCAGCGGACTTGAATTAAATATGCAAGTCTCACGTTAAGTCTAATCTCTACTTCTCGGTGTTTTCGCCATTTTTGCCTGAATCCTGGATATCGTAAATCCGACCGAAGAAGCGCGAAAGGGAGAAAAATCGTTACCTTCGCAGCGATCTCCCGGTGCGACTTCCGATCCGACAAGAACAACGTGGAGGAGGCGGAGAAGCTTTCGACTCTTTCAGAACTCCACTTCACGCGAAGCAGAACAGCAAAAGCAAACCCTAGACAGGCAATGGCAAGCGACCCGTTCGACAAAGCTCTACCTGGTTCTAACCAGCGATGCCGAAGAGGAACCACTATTTCAAGCGAACGGCAACGAAGAAACAGGGAAGAGGTAACCGTAAAAGCCAACCGGCCCAACCGCCCTGTAAGGATTAAACAAATTCTTAATTTCTTTAATTAGCCATTAATTGAATTAGTTGAATTAATATAATTTAAAATCTAAATAATTAATTAGGTAATTAGTAGTGCAAATATTAATTAGTAATATAATATATAATTGACTAATTATATAACTATAAGTATAATTAGTAATTAATTTTTTTCTAGGGCAGACGAGATTTCAGGCCATTCCCGGGTCAACCAGAACCCGACCCGGTTTTGTAAACGGGTCGGTTTTCAGTACCCGAATCCGACCCGCTTCGGGTTGGGTCAACACAAACCCAAAATTTTCAGGTTGGGTCCAATATTGACACCCCTAAATAAAATACATATTAAAATAAAACCTAAATTATAGTATTCATAACTATAATCTATTCATATTAATTACAGAGGGCAAGGCGCGAAGGGGAAAAAGTCATTTTTGTTGGCGAAATGATCCATGAGGCTTGCTGTTGACAAATGGGGACGGGTTGAAGTCACAGATCCAGCAGATTTTACTGTGAAGGAAGACAACAATTTCTCCTTGATTGAATATGTACTGGTCCAGCTAGAAAGTTTCTCACTTGTGAAGCCTTGTTTTGCTCTTCCTACAAAACAGTTTTCAGGATTAACACCCTTAAGATTTAGTAAATTTGGATTTAGGGAATTTACGAAATACTACTTAAATATAGGTGGTGGTGTTAACCCTCTCTCGTAAATAGATAAATTAAGGACATCTCCAACTGAAAAAAACTATTTTCCACTTCAAAATGCAATAAGGTAAGTATCAAACTATATTTCATCTCTAATTAAACTCTATTTTTAACAACAAAAAGAATATGGTGTGTATATTTTTTCTCTATTTTTTTTTTCCTACATTGAAAAATGTGTTCGTGAATAGTTCAACTTCAATATTGACATCGCACTGTTCAAAATGCAAAAATGTATTTTCTGAACGCTGCTCGATTGGTGGTGCCAAGAATAACTAAATAATATGTCAAGATCATAAATGAGGAACTATTGATGAAATATAATTCTATAACATACCTCAATCAAAGAACAACAAACTGCAAGGCTCAAAGCTTGAATCTTTATCTAATCTATCTTTATTTGGTGCAATCTACATTCCTCCATGGCTACTGCCCAGGAGGAGAGCAAGGTTGCTTCCCATCCAGCTTACTACGAGATGATACTAGCCGCCATTACGGAGCTTGGCGAGAAAGATGGGTCCAACAAACTGGCGATTTCAAAACAAATTGAGGCCACTTATGGGGACCGACTACCGACAGACCACTCTGCTTTGCTTTCCGAATCGCTAGCCAAACTGAACAAGTCCGGCAAGCTATTGTTCGTCAAGAACAACTATTTGAAGCCCGATACCGATGCTCAGCCGAGGCGTGGTAGAGGTCGCCCCCCTGAAGCCTAAAACAGATGTTCCTGAAGGGCCTGAGCTTCAATCGACGAAGCAACGCAGTTTGCCTACAAGGGAAAAAAAAATAGTTTCTGCTTCTACTGGGAAGAAGTGAGATAGGCCACCAAAGGGTTCGAATACAAATGGCGATCCTGCTCCGTAGATTGTTGGGATAACACCGACGGGGCCCAAACGTGGACGGGGACGACTGCCCAAGGTGAGTTCGTCAATGGAGGTATCTGTGGAGTGAGATTAGGTTGCATGAGGAGGTGATGTGGAAGTTGGTAAATGGTAAATGATGATATAATGGTTCTGTGCTATGATAGGAATGCTAATGAAAATGAGCTCTTAGTCATTTTTAGGTGTTGTCTTAATATATCGTTTGCAATTTGAATGAAAAATGCGCTGATGAGCTTACTGTTAGCTGAAAAAAAAAACAACAAACTGCACAAATATCGAAGTAGAGAAAGACCATAAACTTAAATAAAATCTGTTTATTCATCACTTTCATCATCACCATAAAATACAATAGTGATTTTGCAATGGTCTATTAGTTATAACAGTCATTCAAGTTGTCAATAAATAGACAGAAGGATGAATGTACCATTATAACAATATTATTGAACAAAATAAAAAGTTTGTTCTATAATTTTAGAGAAATCATTATATGCGGAGATCGGATACAGAGATCCGTCCATTTTATTTCATCATTGTGTTTTTATTATTCATATAGACAAAACTGAATGATTCTATATTTTTGGTCTCTGCAAGTAATATTCTCTCATAATTTTGAGAAATATGGTTTCATAAATTTCTAAGAAATTATTTAAATAATTTTAAGAAATATGCCATCAATATTTTGATGCGAGTGTTAGTTTCTTTAAATCTACAGTAGTTTGGCTAAGCTGTAATAATCGTGATTATTGATCAATTTTTGCAAAGAAAACAGTTTATTATAATGTTTTTTAGTTTAAGGTTTCGTTTGGGACATCCTTCTTATTGCTTCTTAAAGCAACTTTTCAGTACAAAAATCAAAACTTTTGTGCTATAAAACTGCTTTAAGAAATAGTAATAAAGTTATCCCAAACGAAACATAAATCAGCAACCACAAAGCATGTCGAAGAATTTCTTATCTACAATGCCCAAAATTCCCGTCCAGGTGATGAACTGCTTACGAAAAGCAAAGCAGAATCTGTATATGAATCGTGATGCTGGCTCCAGAAATTTGTGCTTCGTTTGGGACGACTTTCTTACTGCTTTTTGAATTGATGGAGTCTGCACTAGCGTTTTACTTCTATCTCGGACTCTCTCTTGGCTGGAGGAGGAAAGTGACAGAGCTCACGGCTTGGGAAAGACGGACGGAAATGGTGATTTGGGCGTGGATATGGTGAAGTATTTATAAAATTCATATTAGAATTAATTGATTCAAATGTATATTATATATGCACTTAAAATACCTTTTGACCGATTCGGAGTTTGATGGGTTACGGAGATGCGGCAACGGAGGAGAATATTAAGGAGATGCGGCTACAAAGGAGCTTGCGAGTTTTGAAGTTTAATTACAAAATACAAATTCACTCGACTTGATCTTAGCCAAAAGGCCGAGAAAGGTATCAAATTACAAATTCAAATGGCCTACTCCTAATGAACTTTTATTCGGTCAGGACACTGACGTAGCTCTACATCCGGACGCTAATAAAATATCGCCACGTGCCCTTACTCTTTACTGTGCGGCCCGACGGCCCACCCGAACCAGAATCCGGTATTACTATGTATTAGCTGATTTGTGCAGACCATGGTATTGCTCGGTATTACTCGGTAACGAGAAATATCATTCTGTCAAGACCAATACCTAGCAATACCCCGATTTTGCTAAGTATTGCTCGGTATTGGTCTTGAATTCTCGTTATTGTCAAGCAATACCTAGCAATACCGAGCAATACACGAACATAGCAATACCAGATTCCGGTCCGGGTCAGGTCGTCGAGCCGCACGGTAAATAGTAAGGGCACGTGGCGACATTTTATTGGCGTCCGGATGTAAAGCTACGTCAGGTGTCGTAACCTAATAAAAGTTCCTTCCTAATTTAGAAAAGTTCGTGTGCGGTGCTTTTCGCTAATAATTTTAAAAAATATATATGAATATAATTTGCAAGAATATTTTAATAAAATATATTTATTTTTTATAATACATATAAACAGTAAATTAATTAATTGAATTTGAATATAAAAATTAGATAAACCAAGGTTAAAATTAGGCCCTCTTTTAAAATTTTTTACTTCACTGCTATTCGTAAGGAAGAGTTATCACCTCTCCCTATGACTTTATGATATGATGCTTGTTTTTTATGTTAATATCTAAATAAAAATATTCCTTTTAAAAACTCATTAAAAAGAAAATTTTATACTTTCTTTTAAAATTATATATTATATGAAACTTATCCAAAAATATTCCCAAAATTTTAATTTTTTTTTCTCTTTTGTCCTAATCTCCCATAGGAGGTTCAAGCGATATTATAAATTACCTCCATTGACTTTAATTCTTCTCTAAAAGAGGCAACAAGCTATCTTACATGAGAAATAACTATGGGCAATGGGATGTATATGAGGGTTGCAATTTTGCTGGTTAAATGGATTAGAACTCACCCTGTTGATTGACACAATTAGATTTCACATGAAACTACCATGTTAATAATCCCTGCGCTAAAATTTCAATCTTTCTATAAAACAAATAGAATTAATTGTCCTAATTGAATGATTAAGATTTGAGGAGAGATTGATTTGATGAGTTAACCGCACCAAGATCATTAAAAGATGTAGGTGGAAGGAGTTTTCTTCAAGAAAGTTGATGGTTCCATCAATAACTTACTCTTTATTGTTTTGACTAATTTGTGTTAGTCTTTGTTATTTTTTTCTTTATGTTTCTTACATTTTTGTTGAATCTTTACAATGTGTGATCCTTTTCATGTGTACATTTCTTCCCTCTTTTTTTTTTTACAAAATTACGTCACTTTGGTTTGTTATAGAATTTTTATTTTTAAATTTCTTGATATTGTAGGACTTTTGATGAATTTGTGTGATCAATCCTTAATTAAAAAAAAAATTAAACTATTTCCATCCAATGATATATTCAATTGTTCTCCTTATAAAAGGAGAGGCCAACAATCAAGAAAGTAGGCATCAATCTTGGCAGTGATGACATTCATTGAGCTTGGTGGCGACAACAAATGGTCATGTTGGTGTTGCAATCGAGCCCCAATGTTCGGGCAAATTATTAGGTCCGGCCACATGACCTAGAAATAAGTCCGAACATCTAGTAAAAACTTGCAACGTGGACTGCTTTTGACTGTGCGCTTTGACTGTACTTTAACTGCGCTTTACCTGCACTTTACCTGCACTTTACCTACGCTTTTGACTGCACTTTTTTGAGTCAAAGCGCAATCCGTGTAACAAATTTTTAGTGGATGTCCGGACCTAGAAATAGGTTCGGTGACTGGACCTAATAATTTGCCCAATATTCGTGGCAACGCCCATTCTCAATCTTAGTGATGAAAATAAGCCTAAACCTTGGCAGCGATAATGAACACTGGTCTTGCTGGTGATAATAAGAATTATTGTTGGCAGCGATCATCATTGTTGATCAATGACAAATGTCAATAATGTTAATGGTAAGAGCTTTGGAATTACTCGTCAAAATACTCTGCAGTTTCCCACTTGTTTGTAAAATTAGGAGTTAATTATAAATGTTTGGAAAGAACATTCTAATTATTTAGACCAAAAATAGAAAACAATGTATCATATAGCCATAATTGATTCTCCTAGCTAATTAATCTTTATGGATATCTTTAATGATTCTCAAATTTGATGAACTTCTTGACACTAACCCTTTGCCTTGCTTTCAAATTACAGCCTATGAAATCACATAAATCAAGTAGATCACATTAAGACAATTCAACACATAACAAACATCAAGAGAGAGCCGGACTCTTCTTTTAAAATCATATACATGAAAGCAAGGCACTGACATTTTTGGTTATTATAAATATATGATGGCCTGTGACTCAGTAAGGGTAGCAAAAAAGCATATAAAGCACAACTTACAAGCTCAAATCTTCAGTTTTTCAAGAATCAGGCATATTTATGTTCTGGAAGAGCTCAGGAAGGTGAGCATTTGTGAGTTTGGTACGTTTGCTGATTCCACTCTTCTTCTTTGGTTTTGGCTTGGAAGGGATGCCATGGACTTGAGCCGCAGCCCGCCTCTTCGCCGTGTTCGTCGCAGGTTTCATTCCATTCTTCTGAAGATCTTTTTCGATGTCCACCATGTCCCGAGGTAGCTCGATCCCCCTGAAGAGCTGCTTCAAGTCATCATCAACTTTGATCACCACCTTGGGGTCATTAGGATACACAATATCTTCCTGAGAATCGTTGTTGGCTAGGAGCCATACTTGTCCTGCTCCTTTCAAGGCCTGTAGAATTTGTCAAGTAGAATTTTACGGTGATATGGTAATATGTAGAATTTCATGGTGATTCGATAAGGATAGATGGAAGCCAGTTGGAACGTGAAATATGTTAAGTAGGGAGGGTTGCATAAAAGCAATCCATGGTTGCCAAAAGTATTAAGAATCCAACAAAATGAAAACATGCTTTTCAAGAAAGTTTTTGTGATTAAAATAAGTTTATTATGCTATAGTTATTTTGTTCAAGCAAATTAACTAAGGGGCTGTTTGGTTGCCTGAATTAGGAGGGTAAAGTAAAGCAAATACATGTATTTACTAAATTCGGCTATTTGGTTAATTTTGAGCGGAAAAAAAGAAAATCCTCGGAAGCATTAGGCGTGTATTACAGGAGGCGGATCCCGCGACTTCCAAAGCCGCTCAAAATGAGCGGGTTTCAAATTCTTTGCTCGAGAACCAGCTCTCGCGCAAATGAACGAAGTCGAACGACGACGAGGGAGCCGAGAAGCGACGGTGCAATCTATGTCATTGATCGACGCCAAACCGGCACTTCGGCACTCACCGCCAGGCCGTGCGCGAGGCTTTCCGCTACGCCACCATCATCGTCGCCTTCCTTGACGATCTCAAGCAGCCTCCTTTGCTCATCCTCCCTCTCCACATTCGTCTCCAGCATATCGAACAGAGCAGAGAAGTGGAAAAGAGCTTCCTTGAACCTCGTCACAAAGAACGGCGCGTTGTATGTTCCGTTCACTACTCCGAGCACAAAAACATTCGGATTCAGCTTTCTAATTGTGCGTAGAACTTAATCCCTAGGGCTTTCCGGCGACACCGTCTCGTCAGCAAGGTTGCGTAGTCGATACATGCAATTCACGGCGAGCACCTCGTCGGATTCGATGTAGAAATCCTCTGGCTGCAGATTCTCTCAGTTGCAAGCAATCGCATGGTAATCGAACGGAACATTGAACTGCCTAGCGTAGTCGGTCAGCCGCCGGCCGGTTTCTTTGATTCGTTCTGCAGGGCGGAAGCCCGACTGAGGAATGTCGACGCCGGTGATGCGAAGGCGTGGTGAGCCTCCAGGAAGTGTTCGTCGGAGTCGGAGGCGACGGAGACGGGGAGGTGGGGGTGGGGGAGGAAGGCGGCGGGGCGGCAGGCGAGGGAGAATTTGAGGCGGGATGTACAGGAAGCTATGCACGCCAACATTACAGGAATAGATTATAAGTGGACTGCTTGCAGGTCAGATACTTTATTTTGATCATTTTAGGAATAGAAATCAGATCATTAGCTTACGAATTTTGTGTTTTTTTAAGCTGCAGTGATGTGTTGATCAAGACTTGGACAGATTCGCAGTTCTCTATGCTGCCGACTTACAAGAAGTTGATTGCTGCAGGGCTTCGGATTTGGATATTCAGGTGAGGGAGGATGAATGATGAAGGTGGAATTTTTTCACTTTTAAGTAAATATATTTTTGTATCAATTTTAAGTTTTTTTTTTAAACTATACAACAACAACAACATCAAGCCTTTATCCCACTATAAATTAAGAAATTTATTTTTATTATATGCAATATTGATCATATAAAATTAAAAATTTCTATTAAATTGCTATAAAAAAACATGGAGAAAATTCAAGTCAAAAGGTAAGAATAGGAAATCAAAGATAAGAAACAGATGAAGAAGAGGAAGAGGAAGAGGAAAAGATAGAGGATGAGTATGAGAAACATGTCAAGGAAGTCCAGGCCAATGGTGAATATGAAATCAACTGATTGAAAGAACTATTGGTGCATTCATTTTATTTATACTGTTTATCATGAAGTCTAGTATTTTAGTTTTTGCTCGTCTCTTTTTTTAAATTTTCGCAATCGCTTCTTACCTTTTGTATAAAATTAATAATAATAAATTTGCAGCATGAATCTTCATTTCTGTTGCCAGTGTGCTTTTGATAATTTTATGACAATGCATAAATAGATCAGTGATTCTAGCTTAAATTTGAAACTTCAATATTTCATTAGTTCCTCGTTGTGTTGCTCAAATGTTAAAGAACATGCTTGCAGATGAAATTGAAAGAATTCTAACTATAGATTTTAGAAATTTAGGCTTCATGCTTTTCTTAGGATGGGAGAAGAGCGAGAATGAAGCTTTAGTTCTGAAACAGCAGCTTGACGAAGGCGTTTAAGTTCATATAGTTATCATTACCTTCAATACTGTTATTTATTTTAGTTTATAAATATACTTATTTTAATGTTAAAATAAATTATTACAAAAAAATGCTTTTACTTTACTCTGGATATACCTAACAAAACAAGGGAAACAATTCTCCTGCGTTTATTTTGCATATAACCAAACAGGCTCAAAGTATTTAGAATGCATTACATTTACTTTACACTGCATTTCTTTTTCAGGCAACCAAACAGCCCCTAAAAGAATAAGATCTATGGAAAACAAGAAGAAACTATTAGAAGAAGCAAATAGACGTCAAAAGGGATGGAACTTGATGTGTGCTTAATTATGTTCTTAAAGTAAGAGGTTGTCTTGCATCTTACCTCTTATTATCCTTTTAACTCTCAACTAAGATGCCACTATTCTAGTAAGATAAACTAATTGTAACATTATGATTGTGAAAATTTAATAAAAAAATAATTCTAGGGCATTATCGTCTAGATAAAGATGAAAATGCTCATAGTAATAATTCACACCAAATAATAATATATAAAAACTAATTCATGCATTATTTGATCTATATTGTGCATATTATTCAATTATATAAAGAGAGTTCCAAGACTTAAAAATATTTCCCCTTTTTTTTAAAATATAATGACATCCATATCATTTAACTTAATAAAAATTATAGTACTTATTTATGAATTTACATTGAATTGTTCATGTGTTTCATTCATGATAATTGATAATGCACACATCTATCAATGACATAAAATTTAATGTATACACAAAGAAAAACATCTAATCCTTTAAAAAAATCTTATAAGAAATTTCTTACACTACAAGAAAATGAGTCAATAGCGACAAAAAAAAAAAGAAAAAAAAAAAGAAAATGGCCACTAAAGATATCTTCTAGTGACCAAAAGTAATGTCTCTAAATAATAAGGAAGCTTGATATTAACCAACAAAAAGAAAATTTTATTTGTAATTTGGTCGCTAAAAGCCTAGATAATTTTTAAAAAAATATCATTAACATTATATATAATGACAATTATTCTTAAACAAAATTTAGGTAGAAGTATAGATTGTTTGTTTGCAAAAAAAATAAAAAAGATGTAATTGATTCATCATTCAATTTCTACAAAAGAATGTTAGAGTTGCATTAAATTTGGCTCGAATTATATTTGTTCATATCCTTGATTGTCATACGCTTCGCATGCCGGGGGTTCAAGGGGGCAGCACCCTAACTGGGATATTTTTGAAATTCAAATTAATAAATAAAATGATGAATTCAAATTAATATTCACATTTAAGATGATAAATTTAATAATTTATGTATAAAATAAATAAGAATATAAATTATTTAAAATTTAATAATTACTTATATAAATAAATTTATACTTAACAATTACTTACTTAACAATTAACAATTAAGCAAAACCTATACTTACGACTCCGCAATCTCACCTCTTACGCACTTGGCTGCTATCGATTTCACTACCATCTGCCCTAGCTTTTTAGCGACGACCTCCAAACGCGCGACCGACTCCCCATTTAGCGGTCACGACTCCACGTCTCTTCATTCGCGCGCACTGATATGAGTTCCCTCCCTCGAAATTATTCGAACACTCCCACAAACTCGCCTCTGTCGATTTATTCATCTCATATTATCTCTAATATCGGTATTCCTCTTATCATTTTAAAAATTTCTACGATCTCCTTTATAGTATGATTGCTTCTCATTTTTATGGTATCATCTAATATTACTAATTATTATAGTTGCTTTAAGATGTTACGGTTGTACTCATGCAGTGATGCTGATATTTGCTCTGATTTTTGTTTAAGCTCTCAGGTTCTGATATAGGTTTTGGTTTTTTTTACTGATTAGTAATGTAACTTTTGAGTTGTTTTTTAGTTCATTTGTAACTTTTATATTATATAAATGAATTTGAATTAGATTAGAGGCAATAATTATTAATTACTATAATTTTTTTGTTGGTATATTTTGATGATTATCTTAGGCTTTTACAGAGTTTTTATTTTGCTAGTTAGATCTTCTAGATTTGGAACTAGTTGCAATAAACATTTCTGGTTGAGGTCGTAGTTAACTAAAGATTTTTAGCAAAGGGTTTGTTCTAATTTAATTTGCAAATATTTGAGATTTTATTCCGTAAGTTATTTGATCAATCAAATCCAAGGTTTTGAATCTACGTTTCATTCATATCATCAAAGCTTCAATTTCACTTTAATTAATTAACTTAAAATCGTGATATAATCAAGTCAATCTGAATTAATGTGATGTTTTACTTTATGAATAATTTAGTAAACTCATTTATAATAAATCATGCAAATACACATTTTATCAATTTTTAAAAAAAATTACTGTTTATTATTCTATTTAATAGATTTAGTCAATGTAAAATTAAATCATATAATTATTAAAATTTAATTTGTTTAAACAATTGATAATTAAATGAAAATAAATTATTTATTTCAATAATTAGCTATGATTTTTTATAGGTAATTAATTTATGTTTAATCGTACTGTATTGAAAAAAAAAGTTTCAAATGAAAAATGTTTTGAAGCATATCATTTATGAATATTTAACTAAATTTGAATAATTTTTGAAAATGCTAGAAAATTAGTCATGTAATAATTATTTTTACTTGAAAATTTTGTTAGTTCAAAGCAATAGATAAAAGTTGGATTAATCTTAATAATAGACATTTGAGACAATCTACAGATGGAGTCAATGTATTTATTAAATTTGTCTAAGAAAATAATACTCAAAAAGAGAAAATTCTTTCTTCATGCCTATACTGTGTAAATATCTTTTTTCAGACATATAGTATCGT